TATATATATATACATGTATGCATGTACGTGAGTTATAGTTATATGTGTACGTGATGAATACCTTAATCTTTTGACATGTTCATAATTTCATGTCTGAACAGCATAAAATAAGCTTAGTCAGTGGCAGGTAAGCAAGGCAGTGATATTGCTATGACCCTGGGCTATGACCATTGGCTATGACCTTCAGCATTCGCCTCAAAACCGCCTTCAGCCACAAAGCGCGGAACTGTGGTTCTTAGACCTTTTTATTTTTTTCTTAAAAAAAATTAGATCTACTAGTTCTAGATCTAGATGTACGCTTTTACTTTTTTACCGCTGCTACCTGCATTGATCGGCACTAGATCGGGCGCTGTGGTGTTTTTGTGATGATGCGTGTTCAGTCACCTGTCTGAAAAGTATGGAAAATCGCACCGATCACTATTGTTCCTTTCAGTTTCAGGTAAATTTTAATGGTTCTCTGCGAAAAGACCGGGCGTACTTTGACATATAAATGGGTGGTTAGCGGATGCGCTAGTGTGGCTTGTTTGCTCCTTCTTTCTTACTATAAACCATTTATTGCCCGTATATCCCCCCTCCCCCCATTTTTTGGGGGTATTTGTTACTGTCTTGTAATACCTCTAATTTTCGGTTTTTATACTTTTATAAGACCTTATTATGTTGCAAGTGGTGATAAGCTCGTACTAAAACTAAACTTTGACATAAAAACTTACTTGTTTTAACTTAGACCCTTACGTTGCTAGAGGGAAGTAAATCGTGAGCCATGCGCGGTACTTTCCCAACTGCAATGTACTTTTGGCATTTTTCTGACCTCATTTGCTTTTCCCCCGAAATGAATTGCCCACTTTACCTCTTCTCTGCCCATCTGCCTTTTGATATCCTGCTTGAACGTTCAAGTATGTTTATGTTTGTTTTCTTTTTTTTGAGGAGGGTGAGGGTGGGGGAGGAAGGGGTTTGTTGGGAGGGGGAGGGGGGGCGAGGAGGGGTTTCTTGTTGGGAGGAGGGAGAGGGATGGGGTTGTTGATCCACATGGCAGTTTTGAGTTTTAGTGCGAATTTTACAGGATTTGCAACACAGAAATATAGTTTGTTTGCTTTTGTAAAGTGTTTTACGGCGCTCTCAACTGCATAAGGTCATATGAGCGCGCGGGACACACCTCATATTTTCAGTTGGTAGGAAATTTTGAATTTTGCCCGGGTGGCGGCCAAAGCCTACTCTGATCGATTTTAGACCACCAAGGGATCTTTAACGTGCGCAATTTGCACACGGGCCCTCCGAGATTTTTCGCCCTTGTCGGAGAAGGCTAGGTGTAGATCTTTCCTACCAGAAGATCAGGGGTGTAGCAGAAAGACAGCAGTAAGGAGGAGCCAAGGAGTAGCAGTAGAAAGGCTGCAGAAAGAGTCAGGAGCCAGGAGGAGGGGGCAAAGGAG